GGAGGACGCGGCCGCTCCGGCGTCCTCAGCTGGCCGGGAGCCCCATCCTCCATCCTCCTCCTCTCACCCTGCCCAGGGACGGGGAGGCAGCGGGGCCCTGTCCCGCCACGGCCGGCAAAGCCCAGAGAACTTGGCAAAAAAAAGCAAGGAAAATATAAACTGGAAGAAGGCAGGGAAAGGAGGAAAAATTCCCCGAGGGTGCCCGGAGCGGGCGCCGGCGCCAGGGGTGGTCAGCGCAGGGTCCCTCCCTGCGCGCGTCCTCGGCGGCGGCGACGCGGGCGGCTCGTCCTAGAGCTCCTCGAAGAAGGCCACGCGGGACTGGGTGCTCTGCAGGGTGAGCTGCAAGAGAGCAGAGCGCAGGCTGAGCGGGGCCCCGGGCTGCCTGCCCTGGGGTAGGACCTGCTCCCAGGGCCGAACGCGCAGGTCAGGGCAGGGGATGCTCTGCTTTAGCTCCAGGCTCCCATGGGTTGGCAAAGCAACACCTGGAAAGCTCTGGGAGCTGGGAAAGAGCAGCCCAGGAAACCTTCTCATGGCACGAGAGAAGCTGCCCTAGAAATCTCACTCCGGCGCTGCTTCCTAAGGCCTTCGAGCGGAGAAGCTTCTGGGGGGCTCTAACAACCTCCACTGCTGCTTGGTCAAGCCCCGAGGAAGGACAGGGGCTTTGGGCACCAACCTGGCGCTTTTCCCCTGCTGCTTTTCCAGGCTGCTCCAGCCCAACCTGCAGGATAACCTGCTGCTGCGCCAAGCCAGCTGCAACGGAGCCCTGGACCTGGGACACACAAATCCCGGCGGCTGCTGCACAGCCTTGCACTGCTGCCTGATTCTCCAGATAAATACACACGCACACACACACGTGCATCTATTAACAAAAAACAAAAAGCATAAACATAAGCCCCGCAGAGCGAGGGCTTTCTTGGAGTTTTGCTTTTACACAAGGTTGCTGGATTTATGTTATTGTTTTTTGGGAGGGGTGGGAAGGAATACCCCCAGTCAATGTAGCCAAAGCCCTGTTAGAGCAGGGGGTCCCCAAATGCTGCACGATGCAACTGCTGCTGCCACAGCAAAAGCCCTGAGGTAAAACCCCAAGCACCCTGAGAGCTCAGGGATGGGTATCACATCCATCTGTCCATCCACCCACCTAATCTGTCCATCCGTCCATCCTCCCGCTCCCCAAAGGTGCATTTAGAGCAGAAGCAACCCCCTCCATGTCAGGGGGTGTATATATCCCAGCCACAAGCTTCAAAAAAAAAAAAAATTCCTTTCCTGGGGAGTTCCATAGTGGGGCAGGTGCCCTATTCCTGCGCCCACCCTGCTCTAATTGGGAAACTGCATTTCCGCCCTGGCCCCGCTTCCCTTGAAGTTTGTTTTTCCAGCGAGAAGCTCCCACATCTTCTCCCTGCCACCCCTTCTCCCAGGCTCTCTTACGCCCACGCTCCCTGTTTCTTCTCGCTGTCGCAGCCCACAGCACTTTGGTGTTGGAGGAAATGCTTCTTCAAAAGCTGTCCCCAAAATAGCTGACAGCCCGACTGGCTCCCGCTTCCCGAGCGCTCCTTGCAAACAAGGAAAGGAGGCCACCGGGCCGGGGGCATCTGGCTCCGAGGCAGCACGGAGAGGGATCCCAGGAGGGAGGTGACCTCCCGGATGCTGCCACCTGGCACTGAAGGTGCTGGAGAAGGCGCTTCTGGCCCAGGGCTGCTGCAGCTGTGGCAGGGCAGGGGCTGCAGCTGAGCCTGGGCTGCACCAATCGCCTCTGCGCGGCCCTTCGCAAGGGATTCCCGGAGCAAAAGGATCAGCACAGAGCGGGGTCAAATCCCTTGAAAGCCTCCAAGACATCCTGAAGCCTCGGCCACCTCGTGCCACGTGGTGGCATGGAGGAAAGTGTCACTAGTAGTGGCCCAACGCTGCAAGAAGGCCTTGTGCTGAAAAACAACTCAAGGTGGCAGCAGCCCACGCCAGCTCCTGCTGCACTCCCCAACAAACCCCGACCGCCTCAGGAAGGGACGAGACCGGCATCTGCCAGCTTCCCAAGATCCTGCTACACCGTGAAAGGACGGGAGGCGCTGGGAATGGCACTGCCAGCATCGTCCCATCCCAGCCCAGATGGAGGACGGAATTGCCTCTCTGGGAGCAGGAGATTTGCTACACGCCAGGATCCTTCAAAGGGCTTAAATCCCACTAATAAGCGTAACAGGGCAAGAAGAAAGCAAGGGGAATGAAAGGCCTGTTCCTGTTCACATCCATGAGCAGCAGCCTGTCCTGAGAGACGTTTCCACCAGAGGATGCGAGGATATGTGTATAAAAGCAGAATAGTGCTTTTTTCCCCTAATTTTATCGCAGTGTGAGTGGCAAACCCTGCTAAAGTCAAGCAGGCTGGAGGGGTAATCCATACAAAAAGCATTAACATGTTAGAAAAAGTATTTAAAACCCTCAAACTCGGTGTCCTCAAAGCCATGGTGCCAAAGCCTGCCCAGTAGTGGCTCAGGGCTCGTGAAATCTTGCCAGCACAAAGCCCCGGGGGCCTGGAGGCTGCAACCAGAAAAAGAAACCCTTCCCAACAGCATCTTCCCCGAAGGGCCAGACACAGGAACCAAAGCCAAACTCTTTGAGGAAAGCAATTTCTGGGAAGGACAGGCCGGGAGACGCAAGGGAAGGAGCAGTGCGCTGCAGCTGCCCTCGGGATGAAGGCAACCTTTGGAAAGCACTTTGCTACCACGTCCCTGTCGCGCTGATGGGTCCCCCTGGATCCGTCCGCTCCCTTCCTGCCCATGCTGCTGCTTTCCCAGGCGGATGCTGGCAGTGAGTTTGAGCAGATAATTCCTCAGCCAAAGCTCCAACGGAGAAACTGCCTCTCCCCAGGCCCCGTCTGAAGGAAGGTGAGGAAAGGGGACTGATTTGGCACCCAGGAAAGCAAGCAGGAAACCTTCCCCATGTCCAGGGTTGCACGTGGAGGAGGAGAACCCCGAGCTGCGGATGGTGCCCGTGGCCCAGACGCTGCCCTGGCTCCCAGTGCTGCTCTCCCGCCGCGGTCTCGGCCCCAGAGCCCCTGCGGGCACCGTCTGCCCTCGGCCGCCTGTTCCACCTCCACCCACCACCTCGCTGCGTGTGTGCCGTGTTTGCCTCACTCGGAGGGGCTGATTTCTAACTTGTTACAGTGGGTTTGGCAGCAGCAGCACGAGACAGGGAGGCTTGGTGCCATCTCCTTTTGCTTTTTGAAACCCTAATTTCCCCCCTGCAGCCACCGAGAGGGAAGGCCCCGCTTTACTTCCTTAAGGAAATCTCCAAAGGCTGCGCGGTACCTCTGCTAGCTTCCCGGGCACCACGAGCAGAACAAAACCAGGCGCGTTCAATGATTTAAGCATCCACAGGCGCCAGCTCGGCTGCCGGCAGGGAAGACGCTCCCCCAGCGCGAAGGATCGGGCGCAAAAGCGAAGAAACCGCGGGCAGCAGCGACAGAGCGAGGGTGGGCAGGGCACAGCGCGGCAGGAAGCGCATGCACGGGTCAGCGCCGCGGCCGGCGGCCCCGCCGCCGCGCGCAGGTACCTGGGCGTAACCTGCTCAGCAGTCTCAAATGCAGATAGGTCTTCTGCCCTGGGCTGGAGGCTAGACCGGCAAGATAAAACGAACAAAACAAAGTCCTCTGTGATACAAGTAACGACAGGTCACCTGCGCAGTCGGACAGAGGGCTGGCGTTAGTCAAGCACTGCTACCCCTCCCCATCCCAACAGCTTTTCCATCAAATGGCTCTTTGCAGCACAAGCGGACAGGCCAAAGCCCTCCCGATGGCAGGAACAGCAGCAGCCTGAAACCATCTTCTCCTGGGCTCTGCTGTTAGGCAAAGTCTCTCCTCCTGCCATGGAGACGCACGAGCTTCGGCCCCCTGCAAGAGCGCGGGGACGGCGCAGGTGCCAGCTCCAAGGGAGAGAAGTCTAGCTGTGCAGCCCCAGATACAGACCGTCTGTCCCACCTTTGAGACAGACCAACAGGACCGTCAACCCTCTACGAACGCCGCTCAAAAGCTCCCGACAAAAGCAAAAAAAATCCAGCATTTTCCATTTCCACCACAGATGCAGTGTGTGGTGACAAAAACCTAATGGGAGCAGAAACTTTCTCTGATTTTTTATATGACAAAAGGGGCTGTGAAGATTTTTATAGCCCTCCCGCGGGAGGCACGGGGACTCGAACAGCTCCGGGCTAGCGCAAGCAGACCTGGAAAATCCACTCACCACATTTCCCTGCCCCAATTCAACAATCGGAAACTCTCAACTGGGAAAGCCGGCACAAACGGGTGTTTTTAAGCCCTGTCAGATGTACCTCTCCACTGGGGCTAGCACAAGGGCGAGGAATTGTTTAAAATCGTTTTAAACCTGTTATCCTCACTGCTAGCTGCAGCCCTGCTAAGCGTGCCACCCTGCTGCAGATTTCTGTGTCTTTCATGGTCATTGGGAAAGAGCCTGGGCAAAAGCCTTTTGGAGCTGCCCACTGCATCCCACCATGCAGTATAGAGATACGCCAGCGGCTCCACTGGGAGAAAAGCAGAGCTGGCAAGCAAAAGAAAAAGGGCTGGATGCAAAACTTCCAGAGGTTTTTATTTGGATCTTGCACATGTGAGACCTGTGCCAGCAGAGCCCATCACCCTAACTTTCTGGCCCAGTATTAACTGCAAGCACATGGAG